GCACTCACATCTTCCCTTTTCATGTCACCAGCGTTCCCGCTCTTCTTCTTGCCCTTCCCCCTCCTACCCCGTGTAGACCGCCCACCCAGGGGGCGCATGCCCAGAGCGGCATCCTGCGTGGCATCCTGCGCGGCGGCCTGTGCGTCGGCCAGCGCGTCGGCCTCATCGTCTCGGCGGATCCTTTCGATGGCATTCAGATCGTCTTCAGATGGCCCAGGTTGGCTAGGAAAGAATACGCATCGTTCCACCCCGGATTTTCGGTCGTGCTGGGAGAGTGTGTGAGTGAGGCATCGGCTGTGAGCGTGCATTTCCCACTTACGCGATAGCCCCATGCGCCTGCATAGAATTTCTTGTTGGCGACAAAGGGTGCGATTTTTAGGGACGGAAGCTTCACCCTGTTCGGCCCAAGGAGCAGGTGGCTACAGATAGGGCATTTGGGAGGAAGAGCAGGTGGAGAATGCGTTGCGGTGTCATGACAGGCCGCTCGGAGCGCTGCACTACAGGTCTTGCCGCCCAGACGGATTTCAGCGACGCTCACCAAGTCCCGTCGCCGGTGCGTTTGATCATAGGCGCGTCTGGTATCTAAGAGAGAGGGGTCCATACTAGAGGCGGGAGTTGGGTGGAGGGCAGGAGGATCCGGACGAAGAGGCAAACGGGGAGCCCGAAATCTTCACCTGCGCGCGGTCCGTATGATTTCCTATTCGGGGAAGCACCCGCGCCTTTGGATACGCCCTCCGGCCCCGATCGTATGTGCCCGTAACAGCTATACCGTTCAAACGCTGTCCGTTCCCCTATTCATATACATTCGACTCTCGACTCCTCACTAGTCACCCGAGCGTCTCTACGATCACCCTCTGCGCACGCCCCGGGAGTCCCCGTCCTTAGTCCGAAGACAATCCTCCACCTTCCCTTCCTCAGAGCTACCTTCCTGTTGTACTATATAAGTAGGATGCACAGATTTACGGCGATGAAGACTCGCCTCCGCTCAGTCGTCTCTGCCTGCTATCGCCTTCTTCCTTCCGTCGGTTTGCACAGCAGATTCCACCTTCGTCTATCTTGGTTGTCAGCGCTTTGAGATTTCGAGACGGTGGGATGCTCACCTCCCCGTCGTTCGCCGCATCCCCTTGCACCGGGATGTCGTGAACGTCGGTGTCTTTGGGAGTGCGAATGAGTACGCCCTCGTCTTCCGAGTCGTTTGCCGGCTCTTCAGACCTGGCCTGGAAATTGCTGTCAACGAAGTCCATCCTCACCTGAGTTCTCACTCACCTGCGTCTCCAACGCCGCACGAGTTCAGATGTGTATGCCCTCCATCGCCACCCCTATCCCCTCCATGTTTACGCTCTCCGTCCTGATCAGCACTACCGGTGCATACCTGGTAGCCATGGCGGACGACCGCAGGGCAGATTCCACATCGTTCACCTCCATCCAGCGTGTCTCCAGTGGGTACCATATCTTGGCGGAGCGGCAGCGAATGATGAGAAGCTTAACAAACGCTGCATACCTTTGGGCGCTGAGGCATTCGAACCCTGGAGTTACCTAATTAACGTCGTTAGAAGACGTGCAACGTGAGTCCAACCTCTCTCACCTTGTCCCATAGGATGACCAAAGGAGCGTCATCCGTCGCGGTCGCCACCATCATTGGTAAGACGTCCTTCCACACTACGTCCTGGCCTCGAGCGTGCTCCCAACGACGCATGTACAGCCCAAAGTCCGTGCATTCTCCCGGGTAGAGCCGCACCCAAACCCAACTCGCGCTCTCCGCGGTTATGTCGATGGAAGTGCTCGCGATGTCTTGCCAGTCACAGGCACCATGGGCCCAGGCTTGCCATTTACGTACGTCCGCAGCGTTGTATCTGTCTCGGATCCAGGGAACTTTCATGAGGTCGACGGCGCCCGAAATCGCCTTGGCTTGAAAACGTTCAAAGATGCTCGACATCGCCTGATGGATGGTGAGCTGCGTGAGCTCTCATAGGTCCGGAATCGCTCACAACGTTCCACAGGATGAGCTCTACCTCATGTTCGTCAACATTGATTGGAGCCTGTTTTCCCGTCCATGAGTTTCCCGTCGCATAGATCGTCGAATGACTCACGTTAGAAGTTAGGTCGAGCGCCCTCGTCGGCCTGGCCGCAGTCGTTGGGTCGGATTTGAGTTTCTTGTGATCGCTCGCGACGTCACCACAGCCTTCGGGGGAACGGGCGCGCTTGCGCTCATGGCCTTTCGCGTCCATGAGCTGGAGACAGTACGTAGGAGAGAGGCGAAGAGTGCCTAATTTTCGTCGCGCGCGTTTGAACTGATACCGCTTTCGGCAATCTTGACTTCCTGCCCTTCTTCCTTAGATTTCGTCCACGCCGCAGTGGCCGTTTCCTTGGAGAGACCGAGGTCGCTGTACGTGGCTCTTTCATTGCACTCAAGCTCTCGCCGATGTTTCGCCAGCTAACACTACGACAATGTTTATTTCCTAGCTTAATGCGTGCTCACTATACCGTCCAGCTATCGCTTCACGCTTGCTGTACGCATCGTCAGCTTAACCAGGTACGGATGCACATCAGCACTCACCGGCGACGGTTCTCTCCCACCAGCTTTTGCAAATAGAACTCCCACTTCATGAAAACGGGACCACAGGACCGCGGTGCGGAGTTGCGAATGCTGCGCACGAGTAGTGCAGGAGGCTCCGACTCACGGATGACGTCCCCCATAGACCTCGTGTGCCACACCGACGTCTGGAAACACCACGTCATTACCCCTTCGGGAACGACGAGAGCAGGGTCTAGGCGGGTGCAATCTGCGATGGCCTCGCCGATTGAACGCCCGACCTGTGAGCGCGTGTAGCAGATCGTGGGCGGCGTGTTGGCATCCTTGCTCTAAGGTCAGAAAAACAGGCAAAGTAAGAATGGTTTGAGGCTCACCTGCGTCCAAATCACGACCTCGTACTCCACAGCGCCCTCGGACACTCCTCCATAGCGTAGGGGTTGGAGTTTGCCGTCTTCCCGACCGTAGAGCTCCCTTCCAAGAGTGCGACAAGGACGTTCCCAATTGTCGACTCGGAGGACCAAGAACAGTCGCATGCGTTGAACGGGCACTAGTTCGTCGTCCTGCACGTCGAGGAAGGTCGGTATCCAGTCGCCATCCTTCCATATGCCCACTTTGATAGGTTTGCCTTCCCACCGCCGCAGGACTCGTCGCAAGCTGACCATTTGGGTGTTGGAGACGCACGGCCCCATACGTTTCCCGGTGGTGGCCTTGGTTCCAAATGGTCAGTGGGAACGTCTCGGCAAATGACTGAACGTACCCCTTGGCTGAAAACAATCACGAACGTGCCCCAAACACCTGGCACAGTGGGGCGCTCATCCGGGTGGTGGAGGGCGTACGACGTACTGTCGAGGGAGCGGTTGGTACTGCATGTGAAAGGAGGCATGGGTTGCACGACGATAGGAGGCGACGCATTTGCGTCTCTGCCCTCTGGCGTTTAAACGCTGCACGTGATTGCATCTGGCTTCATCCCCTCGTCTTTTTACATCGTGTATGGAATGCACTACGTATCGTACTATGAAGCGATACCATCATCTGCAACTATAACACCGCCCGATCGTTCGGTCTGCGTACAGGTGTAATGTCAGACCCGATGAAGGCGAACGTGTATTACACTCACCCTGGCACCCTGGAAGGCCGTTGTGGCCCTGCTGATCGCATTCAGCCCTTGAACATCCAGAAATATGAGCTCCTACCTTCCCCGCATCGTTGCCGCCTTAGTAGTCGCCACCCTTGACACCGTCGTCGGCGCCATCGTCGTCACCATCGTCGTCACCGTCGTCGTCGCCGTCGTCTTCCTCCATCACCTCATCGTCGACCTGCCGGGGGTTGACATCGCCGAGGAACCATGAAGTGGGCCGACCGATATCCAATGGCTTTTGCTTTTCTAGCAGTTCTATGAAGAACCCTGCATATCGCGCGTGCTCGTTGTCGGCGTGGCGGATGAGAAGCCGCCTCCAGCCAAACGGTGGGATAAGACTGTCCTCGTCGCACTGCTGCCATATCGACACCTCCGGGTTCCACACTTGAAACCTCTGCCCGAGGTCGACTTCGGGCACGAGCTGCTCGAGTTCGTGCTCTAGCTCGGCGAAGTATGTCTTCTCGAGCCACGTTACGCAGCAAGCAATGGGACGAGGGCGATCCTCCTGGTCCATGGGTCAGATCGGACGCAGACCAACGAGAATGGGACACTTCACCTTGGCCCATATGATTACTTGAGAGTACGCTTGAGGCAAGTGGGGAGGCCTCGGACGATAGTCGACTATTGGGGGCTCGGGTGCAGACCAGGTCGCCACGTCCTGCGCGAAAATCTCCTGGCCCAGCCCCAGACAGGGCCAGAACGGCCTTCCATGCGCACGAGGACGACCGTAGTGCTCTCGGTGATATGTACCTGCGCAAATCGGAGCAGGTTTAGCGTCCAATTTGCTCGCTCGGACCAGTACATCACGGTCCGTTTGGATGTCATGGCGTCGCGCAGCAATGGAACTTTCCACAAAGAAAGGACCGATGGTACATCGACGTAGATGTTCTCGAACATTGATGAGTTGCCATATCCCTGAGATGGGGCTTGTTATCGCAGAAAGACATACGTTCAGAGATGGTGCTTACCCTCGGCCACACAACCACTCTGACACTGAATCGACCCTTCATGGCTTCCTGTTGCCGAACGCCGACGCCAATGGAGGTGTTGGAAGGTCCATCGGACGCGTGTGGGAGGGACTGGGATGGGTCGTCCATGTGAGGAAGAAGTGGTAGGGAGAAGAGGAGGCCGGATGCGGCGCTTACTCTGGCAGCGACGGTGATTGGCCCTTCATTCCATTTCCAGCCTGAGCTAGCCCCTGTGAACGGGGAATTGAGTGCGAGTTCGCAGCTGGCGGCGCGCCATAGCTAAGTACGACGTCTCAGTACAATGTTTCTGTATATACACCCTGGCTATATAGACCCTTTCCGCTTTCTCCCCTCCCGGGTCTCAAAGTCTTTCTCCGTCTGCAAGAGGCGTCAGCAAATCTTCAACCACGGGTAGTGGACGGTGCTCACCTCCATACTTCGTGTCGTTCGAAGCCTGCTTTCGCACCTGATCACTGAACGTGAGTACAGGCTCCAAAGACGATAAAGTGTACTCCACCTTCCGCGCGCCCTCTTCTTCGTCCGCACCGTCCCCAACAGACAAGGCGGTAAGCTCACTATCTCCCATGACAACGTGGCCATAGACCTCAAGGCGATGGATGAAGTCGCCGGCATATAGGGCGCGTTCGTTATCCGCATGGCGCAGCAAGAGCGTCTTCCGACACCGCACGTGAATAGGGCTGGTTTGGTCGCCTCTTTGCCAATTTGAACGGCTTGGATTCCACAGCATCCAACCTTCGCCCAGGTCGAGACCGTCTTGTTGCAGGAAATCCAAGACAAACTGGTAGTTCTTGCCTTTCAGCTCCGGCATGTGGTACCCGATCGGGCGGGGACGTTCGTCCTGTGGTCGATCGTGAACACACCGATCGACCGTAGCATACGTCACAGCACTTACCTTCGGCCACACGAACACGGGTATTGAACCTGACCTGGGCGGCCAGCGAAAGTCTGCGATAGGCTTGGGAGGGGGCCCGGACTCCGCTGCATCCTGGGCGGACAGCTCAGCCCCAAGTCCTTGACACGAGCCCAGGTCACCGCCGGCGCGAACGAGGATGGAGCGCGTAAGGGGGTCGATGCGTATGCTTGCTTCCGACATGTTGGCGGGGATCCACTGCGCTCTGGGGGCCCAGTACATGAGCTTGTCCTCCTTCACATGCGTGCTGATCCCGCCATAGCTGTCCAGAGGGACCTCGGCGGGGAGCGGGATATCCTCATATGTGGGCACAGGCAGGCCGCCGCCCTGGTGGACGTTGGCGGGGTCATCGGCTCAGCGTAGATCATGGTAAGCACGGCATTGAAAACTCGCCTGAGGCCAAACCATGAACCGTACGCTGCACACCACCCTCTCAGCGGCGTCTGCCACCTGATCGTCCATTTCCTCCTCCTTCTCCACCGCGTCTCCGTCGGCGTCGTCTTCGCGATCGTCCATCTGCATTTCCTGCTCCTGGATCGTGGGCCGGTCCAGCGTCTGAGGGCCGCTGTCTGGGTCTGGTTGCCCGTCTTTGGACGCGACAGGAGCGATGTCTTCCACAGAAACGTCCATGTAGTAGCGATTAAAAACGAGGCGAGTGGTGATCTAGAGAGAGAGAAAGAGAGAGGCTGTGCCTCTGACTTGAGCAAGGCCAAAGGCGTTTTCGAAATTTGACGCCAATATCGCTCCGACCCCGGCGCTTGATGGACGAGACCAGAACGTAGACTGATTAACAATGAGGAACGTTACAACCGCCGTAAGGTACTAAAAGCTCATGCATGCTCTACTCCATCGCCTTCCTCCTCTTCGCCGACTTGCCACGCGTCTTATTCTGGCTGGGCCCTCTGCAATTACACAATGATCAGATAGATCGCCTATACAAGCGATAATGCTCTCACATATCGTCGTCATTTGGAGCACGCTTCTTACCCCGGGGTTTTTCCGGAAGAGGCACGACGGTTTGCAAGCTGAAGGCTAGGTCAGCAGGTCAAATGAAGTGCAAAGGCAGTTACTCACGGATCATCACCCCTTTTGCGCCATGACTTCTTCGGCGTTACTCCTGTAAGCCGCTTGCGAGTCATCATGGGAGGAGTTCGTGGCCTCGGAGGTTCAGGTGCTGCTTCTTCTATGCCGGTGGCCTGTTCGACGACCTCTTGCTGGTCGAGGACGGGCTGGTCGACAATGGGCTGGTCGACCACGACGGGCTGCTTGACGACGACGGCGACGACGGGCTGGTCGACGACGACGGGCTGCTCTATGGGTCGCTCGACGACGATGTGCTGGTCGACGACGACGGGCTGCTTGACGACGACGGGCTGCTCTATGTGCTGGTCGACGACGACGGGCTGCTTGACGACGACGGGCTGCTCTATGGGCTGCTCGACGACGATGGACTGCTCGACGACGACGGGCTGGTCGACAACGACGGGCTGCTTGACGACGGCGGGCTGCTCTATGGGTTTCTCGACGACGATGTGCTGCTCTTGAACGACGGCGGGCTGCTCGACGACGACGGGTTGCTTCACGACGACGGGCTGCTCTATGGGCTGCTCGACGACGATGGACTGGTCGACGACGACGACGGCGACGACGGGCTGCTCGACGACGACGGGCTGCTCTATGGGTTGCTCAACGACGATGTGCTGGTCAACGACGGCGGGCTGCTCGACGTCATCCCGGACGATGGACTGATGGACGACGGACTGCTCGACCCCGCGCCGGACGACGCCCTCGTGCTGGTCGGGGTTTTCGAGGCGATCGCGGCGGTCGACGTCTGGCTGATCGACAACCTCGTCGAGCGTGCGCAAGGCGGGCGCCACGACGGTCTCCGTGTCTTGTCCTAGCGCAAATGTGAGCGCATCCAAATCGTTGGCTCCGTCGTTGAATGCAGCTGGGCCACCGGCATCTATGTCGGCGAGATTAGCTACAATCTTCACAGAGGCTAGAGCGCGGGAGAGGCGAGCATGGAAGATGTGGGCCGGCAGTGTCCATGCTAACATCGACGATGAGGGAGGCACTGGTACACGAAAGGGACAACGTACGCTGAGAGACCTCGCCATGGTCGATGGCAGGGATGGCGCCTGGCGGAGGGGGTGCTTCTAGGTCGGATGGCGGCAGAACAATCAGGTGGAGTTCGCATACATGGAGGGATGCCTACACTCACCAAACGTGTGACCCCGCGCCTCCTCGTTCGTCGCGGTGTCCTCCGCGCGCGCGCGCACTGAAGACACAATGTTGATAGTCGGGCGACGGGATAGGACTGCGTACACGCACCCTGCTGCCGAACATCGCCATCGCTTTCAACCCGCGCGACGATATCACTGTCTGCCAGCCTGTCAGTCACCAAAATGGCCCCGTTTTGCACCGCTGTGTACACTATAAGCTACTGGCCAGAAAGGGGACAATTTCTGAACTCACTGTTGTGCAAGTTCATTGAGAAACCCGCAGCGATGAAATCGAGCTCATCTGGAAGAAATGACTTGGCGTCCATCAGGGTCTTCCAGAAGGTCCGTCCTTGAGAGTCATGACCCGTGCTCAACCTGGAAGGGAAGTAAGTCTATGAACGAGGCACGAATACGTCACTCACCATATGGTATGAGGTTGCCCCTTGGGTAGCCCCGTCGCCATTATGTTCAGGTCGTAATTCGTTTCACGTTT